AAAAAAACCCCTGAAGTTTGTATAATTAATATGAAAAAAAAATGAGGGGATAGTAAACATAGCACCATACTCTGCAACCACTCTGAAGCAAGTAGTAAGCCATATATATATCTTGGGGATTACTCTGCATGTTACTTTTGTGGGATTGATTACTTCATTTTAGGAGACATAAAATATATTAAATCTAATCCTATTATATCAATCATTATGTTTCTTCAATGTGAACTTTTCTAGGACTTGGGTGTTACCTTTTTGCTCTTCTTTTCAAGTTTGTAATGTTTACTTTGGAGTTTTAAGCAATGAGGAGACAGGTACTGTTACTCTCATTAAGTTCTACTACTTTTCAAAGTTTGGAAGAAAGGACCCAGAGGATGAAGGGACTAATGGAAAGGAGAGTTAAAGCTTATTTTGTTTTGTTTGTTACACCCAATAGTCCTGAATTCATTCATCTTCTATGTATGTTAACATCTGCTCTTCTCTCTTCAGAAAATGTTGTTACTCTGACACATATTTGAGCGATAAACTGAATATTTCTTCAAGTATAAACATTATGTTAAGTTGCTTGAAAATAATTACTCTTCAAACGGTTTTAACTCTTTAATATTTGAAGATGCTACGGAATAAAAAACTACAAACCAACCAAAAAGCCAAACAAAACCCCAACACCATCACTTTAAGCATTTCACTGGGCAGTTTTTCAAATTAATGCAGTTTAACTATTACATTAACTTAATGGCTATTTTCCCCTGCTTTAACCATGTTAAATGTGCCGGCAATAATGAGCTTCTAATGCTGTCTCTTTCAAGTCTCAGAGGCATCTTTAGATCTCTGCTTATCTCCTGGATCATAAAGCTGCATAATTTAGTATTCAAACAATTAATTTAAAACTGAAACACTTGGAATTAACATAAAATTAATCAGAAAAAAAATATCTTAGCCTGCTCATTCTGTTTATCTCTATTTAGTAAATTTGAAAGTGTAAGATGAATAAAACTTTACAGTATTCTGTTTTCTATTTATGAATCAGCTGCTATAGGCATAAATATATCTAAAACTATAAGGAATATTTTCAAAACCTTTTGGAAAAAAAAAAATTCTTGTGCCTACCAAACTAAGATGATTCTTTTGATGGAACAAGTTTTTTAGATTTTTCCATACCATTAACTTAAATAGAAACATCTTTAAAACAAATCGTAATTTCTAACCTATTTCCAGATTTGCAATACACAGAGGTAGCTGATGCCTGTAATCAGAACTGCTGCCTTATTAAGTGGCTAAATTCTAATAATTGTGCAACTCACAGCACTGTATCACTTAACATTTTAAAATGTCTCTGCACTTAAATTATGTTTTATTTCCTTTGTTGTGCTTCCAAGTGCTACAAGTGTCCCTTGTAGGCTGGGTTATTGCTAACTTAAGGAAGAAAATTGTAAGAAGAAATTGGATTTATCTCTTGCCTGCATCATCAATAAGACTTTTATCTAATAAAAGGCTGAGGTGCCTAATGTAGTAGAGTATCTTTCCTAAGTACCCAAATGACAATTTTAAGTCCCAGATTTAGGCCCCTACTGCCATCACAATTTCCTGGGGACACCTAGTTACCAAAGTAACTTCTCTCATCTTATTTCAGATACCTTTATCTGATCTTGTGTTCATCTATAGTCAAGATTGTTGCGGGATGAAACTGATATAATCTCTTTTGGGAAGATTATAGGTGACTATATGTGGTCAAGAGAATCTCTGTCCAGCAATCTTTTCTCTCCTTTGGGAAAGTGATTTATTTTCCAGGACACATAGGGATACAAATTAAATCCAGCCCCTGTCCCTCAGATAAGCTATGTTACTCATGGCAACAGCAATTGTGTCCACTCTGAATCTGGGTCTGAATTTTCATTTTCTGACTATGTTTTCAAAGAATTGAGTAGGAATTTTCTTTTTTTTCCACTTATTTCTTGTTAAATTTTTCCAGTACTCCTTTCATATAACACAAGCAATCCCGAGTACCACTTTTCCAGCTGAATATCTTTCTAGCACTAAGCTGCAAATATACTACCTTTTCCTTGTATTTTGGATGTGTGGTTTCTTCTCTCTGCTGCATTCTTTGCTGTGACTTTTACAGATGTGATGTAGGATGGCTCTTTCTGAGGCCAAACTATCCTGGGAACATATGGGCAGTGGAAACCCTTCTGACATAGCTGGGCATACATTTTAGGTCTCCCATTTGATAGGTGATTGCCCTAATCATTTGGTAGCTGTAAACTTAGTACTATTAGTATAATTCTCCTTTATGTTTTAAAAAATAATCATAGCATAGAATCATAGAATATCCAGAAATGGAAGGGACCAACAAGGATCATCAAAGTCCAACTCCTGGTCCTGCTCAGGACAGCCCCAAGAGTGACATCGTGTGCCAGCGAGCATTATCCAAACACCTGAACTCTGTCAGGGTTGGAGCTATGACCACTGCCCTGGGAAGTGTCTTCTAGTGTTCCTAACATCTGGACACATTTTTCTGACATTTGCTCAAGTCCTGTCACTGGTCACACAGAGAAGGGATCAGTGTCTGCTCCCCTGCTCCCTCTTTGGGAAGTGCAGACTGCAATGGGATCTCCCCACACTCCACTCCTCTCCAGGCTGAACAGACCAAGAGACCTGAGCTGCTCCTCATACAGCTTCCACTCTAGACCCTCCACCATCTATGTAAGCTTCATTTGCTTTCTAATAGCTCTATATGGCTCATGACCATAACAGCACAATAAATGCAAGTATGGAAAACTTTCCGATTGAAACCAGCACATATTAAATAGATTGCAGGTCTATTTAATAGCTGAGCAGACTTCTGGATTTCAATTTTGTGCATTTTATCACAAATGGCATTAACCATAGTACACTTTGGCCACTAAAAATGTTAGTATTTTACCTAAGATAAACATCCATTGTTCCTCTACCATCCTGCTTATAATAGTGTTACCAAGACTCAAGATCTTTTTCAAAAATATTAATAGCTAATTTAAAGGCAACAATTTTAGAACTTATGCCTGCTAGTTCTCCTAAAACTTTTGAAAGTGTTAATTTTTTATTATTTATTTAATTTCCCATAAAGAAATAAAGCACATTTATTTCATGATAGGTGCTGTCTGAATCATTACAATTTCCTGAAGCTTAGTGGTGCCCATGTGCTCGGACAGCTACTGTGTTGTCTAGCTGTGCTCTCCAGAACAGGATGTGTCACCCATGATTCACTGCAGGCCTCCCCTACTCAAAATGCTGTTGTGCATAACTCTTAGGCTTGTGCTGCATTGCTAAAAGTGAGATCATGAGGACATGTACTCCAGTTAACAACTTAAGGCAGCTCCATCCAACACATGCTATGTTTGAATTGGCATCTTGGTGGAGAACAGAACTGAAGTTTTGAGTTAATCTCCCTGTTGTATCCACACATTCGTTTGGGTCAGAGTAGGTTTCAGTGCACTCTTTCCAGAGGCCAGAGATGTGCACTTCCACTCTTCTGTGGCAAAATGTGCATTGGAGCCATTTGGGATGAGTGGGACCTGGTGAAATTCAGTAAAACTCTCCAGTGCAGTGTGGTTGTGAGATCCTGAGTAATAAACTGCTTTGATGTACTGATCTCTTCTTTCTGCATCATGCTATTTGCTTATATGGGCATAGCCACAGGGAAATCGAAATAACAAATGGAAAACAAACATGATGTTACAATTTGGTGCAAGAATAAAAAGCAACAATTGCTTTACTTTATAGGTTCCTGCAGTGCCCTCACTGATATCATGTGAGAACAGATTCCAGAAATGCATTAAGCATTCTAAGTAATTTTAGTTATGCCTTATCCATTCTCTCTGTCATTCTCTCCTTAGGCAAAGAACTGTACATGCAGTGCTTTCTTTTGGCTTTGTTACTATTTAGTTAATTTATTTTATTTTATTGCCTGTACCACATTATACTTGTGATGCAGTAAGCACAGTGAAGAAAAAGTATTTTGGTGTTTGGAAAAGAAGGATCAAACTTATGGTTGACTTTTTCTCCTATGGGAACTTTTGACTTTTTTTTCCTAGTCAGATGAATTTTAAACAATTGAAAGGATGAATTAAAAAAAATTCCTTCTGTGAAACTCTGAATATAGTTGCTATTTATTCCTGTCTGTGACAAAATGAAGAAATACTGGAAAGTGTGATGGGGTTGAAATTGTAATTTGTATCCATCTTTAGTAACCAAAAATGATTGTTTATGTAATTCACTCGCTCTTTTCTGCTCAGCACTAATATTCCTCAAGTCCTTTGCCTTAAACTTATTTGTATGGATAGAATGTTGGATATAATGAGAAAAAAACCTCAAAAAACAGTGAAAAATGGGTCTTTTTCTTAATTTTGAGATTTAGAACATGGTGAGGACCGTGACAAGCAGCAGTTCACCCACAACACACGCTTGTTTTTTTCTTTATGAATATGCAGCTTTGCCATGATAAATCAGCCTCCTTTCTTTGTCTTACAGACACACAATTAAAATGATGCTTTACATCCAAAAAGATAAAGAAGAAGAAGCATGGCTAGAAACTGAAACTGAAAAACAAAGGAAAACCATAAAAGAAAAGGAAGATTTTCATTATATATATTTTTTGGCATGTAAATCATGTCAGCATGGCAAGTGTTCTGAGTCTTAAATTTCTGATTATATAAAACTTTGTGTTTCCTCTAAAATTGATGTTCCTGTCTGAAGGATGTGGTTCCTCTTAACATCCTTAGCTTTTCTTCTAATTAGAAAAGAAGAAAAAAAATGAGATAAAATTCACTTGAATGCAGCAACCTTACAATTAGTATTTAACTGTCCATAAAAGTACTGATTCTCTTAATGAACCTGCTGCTATCATTGTTTACTACCTTGAAATTAAGGGGGAAGAAAGAACCGATCATTAAGCAAATCTCATGTTACTGTTTACCTACCTCTATAGTCCCATTATCACTTGTAATTACATATAGTTAATCAGTGCCAGTATCCAGAAAAAAACAGTTTATTGAATGGAACAAGATGAAATAGATGGTACCTCAATTCTCAATCTGTAACACAGATCTAATGTAATTCCTCACAAAAAGTTAAATTGTAAAGTTTACATTTAATTCAACCAAATGTCACACTCTAAAATGTGCAGACCATCAAAATATTTCTTAATGAAAGAAATTAATCAGTGGTTCAGATATTCATGCTTGATTTAGAATAATTAAAGAGATTAAAGCAATTAAAGAGAATATGCTAAATTCATGGTCTTTTTGGAGAATGTTTAACATGCATGATGACTAAATTACTTGCACTTCTCTATGGGAAGGTCTTCAGCACAGGTTTCACAACTTTGTTTTTTAGAAACATTAATCAAGTTTATCTCACAATTCCTCTCAGGTACCACATGTAAACAGTCAAGTAGAGCAGATGCAAAGCAACACAGGAACAATCTGGAATTGAGGATTTTTTTTTTTTTCTCCTCCAGTATCTTTTTTAATGAGAAAATGTTAACTGATAGGAGTTAGAAATGTCCATCATGACAAGTTCCTGTTTCTTTTTTTCATACCTACACATTTCAAAATTGCTGGCATGATCCCCTTTCCCTCATTATTGCCAGGAGGACATTGCAATCGTGAGATGATCCCATGGGGCTGTGGGAGCCAGGACCTGAGAGTCACAGATGGGGGCCAGCCAGGGTCCTCCTTGGCATGGATGCAGTCCCACCATGCCTCAGCAGAGAAAGCCCAGTGACAGAAACCAGGGCCATCCAGCAGGACAGGGATAACCAGGAGCCAGCAATACAGGTGATGACTAAAAGAAAAAGAATTTAGGTTTGCTGTTAGATAGAAATTTTTCACTGTGAGAGTGGTGAGGCACTGGAACAGGCTGCTCCAAGGAGCTGTGGATGGCCCATCTCTGGAAGTGTTCAAGGCCAGGCTGGATGGAGCCCTGAACAAGCTGGTCTAGTGGAAGGTGCTCCTGCCCATGGCAGAGTGTTGGAACAAGAGGATCTTTAATGTCCTTTACAGCCCAAACCATTCATTACAACCCTTCCCTGCAGCAAGGTGCAGGTCCTGAGCTTGCATTCAGCCCCAGCTGCAGGTGCAGACTGGGAGGATCCCTCTCAGAGTCCTACACAGCAGCCGGATCCACGGTCACACACGGATCAGAGCTGACCCCCAGCACCAGCAGATAAAGCCTGGATGGGGAGACACTCTTGAAAAAGCTCATTATAGATAATGATGGTCACAGCTGATCAGGGAAATTGGAGCTTGTTGGTGCGCTCAAAATGGCAAAGAGATAAAACAATACTTCAATCTTTGTCTGAAATGACTACTCTTTTGAAATACAATCAAACATGCAGTTGAAAAATGCAAAACCATGTTTAGACATGAAAAATGAAAGGAGACAATTTGTTTGATATACTTGGCTGAATGTTATGGGTTGAATTTTTAATTAACTTTTTCAAGATTTTGAATATTCTTTCATAGTCAATATGGGTAGTCTTTCGGTGTGGGGTTTTGTGTTTGGCTGTTTTTCCATTTGCTCTCTACCAATCCTGATAAAACAATGTATATTTTTATCTCATCAGGGTAATTACACATAAAATTCTGGATATCAATTTTTTTAATAGATTTTTTCCCCCTAACAGTTGATAATGAGCTTTTTCAATTAATTTCTGTAAAATTTTACAGGTAGCATTGCTGTTATTCATGAACTGGAATGCTGACTCTGGCTTTCAGTTAATTGCCACACTTATCATTATGGAGTGGGTAATATAGTTATGAACTGCTTCTCACCTATAGCTCCTTTGTGGTTGTAATAACTGTAGAGGGATGTTTTTGTCTCTCCAAACATGATTTTTCAGTGCAGTTTCAAAGCCTCTAAAGAGAAATCTGCAAAACAGTAACATTTATAACCAAAGATAAATAGGTTTTAGGAAGCCGTAGTTTGTATATATATCTATATGCAAATGTATATATAAAGATATGATATATTAAATATTATCTATATATAATATAGATAATATAAAAATATATTAACTTCTGATCTTTTAAAGGCAAACCAAAACAATTTAAATCAAATGAAAACTATGAACATTTTTAAGTATTTTGCTTTTTTTTTCAATATCACAAAGAGAATACTAAGAAATAAAAGCAAAATTGAATTATGATAGTTTGGTTTACTGCATATTTAAAATAATAAAACTTAATTTTGTGGATTTGAGTCTTTTGACTTTCTCTTTATTTTCATAAATACACTTACTTCTTTGATGAAATTTTGTTTAAATCTGAAACTGAGAGAATGAAATTGATAGGTTATTTACTGGCTCACATACAATAAAGAAATATTTCTGTTCAAATTTAAAGTCACCTAATTTTGATGTTCCCTTTGTTGATAATGGTACACAACTAAACTTGAAGAGTAGTAACTAAGGTAAATGACTACATTAAAAATATTTTTTTGTGTGTGTCATGCAAATTCAATACATTTTCAAATTAATCAAAATTCAACAAACTGTAGAATTTCTCCAGTACTTATGCTTTCAGGTCATGCATTTGAAATAAATTAATTTAATTTTCTGGTGTCTATTAACTCTTTGCTCAAGACAGTATTTTCAAATCAATTAATAGGCATGAAAAATATTTTACCAGTTTGTCTCAGAATTTAGGCTCTAGTCAACACTGAAACTTCATTTTGGGAACGGGTGAAAATTATTTTCTAAGTAATTGGAATTCTTCAGGTGAGCAAAAGCATACATTTTTCTCTGGGAATTATTTAATTCAGCCTAATACAATTTAAGACTATCAAGAGATCCCCAATAGCCACTGAACCAAAGCTCCCATGTTACCCTACTATCCTTTTAAATATATTATAAAAATTACTAGTAAATAGGAGAAATATGGAATAGTGGGGCCCATTTCAAATACTGTTCACTGGACTTTGATAGAGAGAATAGCAAGAGATTTCTCTCTTATTCATTCTGTATTTAGCTCATGCGTCTTATAACTCATCTAAAACAGGTTAGCAAGTTTCTTTAAAGCTTGCTCTGCTGAAGTTTTATTTGGCACTTCTGATTGATAAGGACTGGATAAGTAAGAATACAGACTACAGAAGCATAAGACATTTTCTCTGAACTGACCCTCCACTTGAAGTGCCATCTCTCCTGGCTGAGCAGAGAAGGTCTGTGCATGACCTGAGCACTGTGCTACAGCCCACGTTATCTTTTCCTAAGACTTGAGCCTATATGGAAGCATTTTCTACTGTTCCTGAGATGTTATGTCCTCTCAATGCAAAGCTGGATAAGAAAGGCCAAAAAATTTAAAAAGCAAATTGCTTCAGGTTTTCTAAATATCACAAAGCAAAACAAGTAGCTGAAGTCCAAATAGACAAATTCATCTGGATCATCAAAATAGAACTATTATGTGTTGCAAGGACATCTATATATAGTGGCAAGGACTGCATCCTTTTTTCTGTCACAACAAATACACGTAGCATTTTTCCTGAGGGAAAACTGTGTTAAATTTGGGATTAGTGTGCAGGGAGGTCTAGCTGACAAACTGTTAATGTATAATTTCTTACAGCATAGATGCATTTAGAACATTCATAGCCTGACAGTGGAACAGAGCTTAGTAAATAGCATAATTTGCTGTATGGCAGGAGAGGAGGAGAGAGAATAACAAGGTATCAGTGAAGTTTTTCCAACACCTCATGCCTTGTATTGGCTCAGCTATCAGATGTTTTCCATCTACCTGATGAGTGCTAAAGTACATTTCCTTTCCCAACACCTGTGTCTTGGAGGGTGGTACTACATTCAAAGAAAAGTTACCCATATCTCAGACTTCTCTCACAAGACCTTAAGAACCCTGTCTCACAGCTCCAACAGTCCTCCACTGATTTATACTGTTTTCTGCTACTCTATCTCCAAAGGCTTCAGTGTTGTTTGTTAGAGTGTGAGAAGAAATGAGGTTTCAAAATCACTGCTTTTTCAGTTCCCACAGCTTACAGAGTGCTACTGGAAGCAGACTGAAAAAAAAAATCTTAATTGCTGTGGTTTGAAAACTTTAAAAATAGATTATTATGGTGAGGCAAAAGTGCCAGGAAGTTGATAACCTACACTCTAAGTCTCAACCCAGCGTGAATCAAAATGACATTTATGAAGTCTTAGAAAATGGCAACTGTAATGAAAATGTCTACTGACCCCTGACTAATAGTGTCAGCAATCCAGCAGTGCTTAATTATTAAAATCAACACATGTCCTGCACTGACAGCCCAGTGTTTTGAACTGTGCAGTTCTTCTGAAGAGGTGGAAACAATAAATAGAAGTGACAACATTTCCTTTTATATTCCTACTTGTTCTCTCCTTCTGCTGATTCCCTTCCACAGGAGAGTTAGAAAGGTCAGCATGATGATGTTTTCCAGGAGTTTGTTAGGCTGTAAACTGCAACTGGCTGTTCATGGCTTAGGTGGGCATGCTCATCTCTGGGTCATGAAGTGGCTGAGGGTCAGGTCCAGAGAGTGGTGATGAGTTGTGTTACACCCAGCTGGCAGCCAGAGGTGCTCCCCAGGGCTCTGTACTGGGGCCAGGTCGGTTGGACTGTTTGAGGTTCAACAAGGCCAAGTGCTGGGTCCTGCACTGGGGACACAACAAGCCCATGCAGCACTACAGGCTGAGGACAGAGTGGCTGGGAAACTGCCTGGTGGAGAAAGACCTCAAGGTGCTGGAGGACAGAAGCTGAATGTGAGCCAGCACATGCCCAGTTGGCCAAGAAGGTCAATGGCATCTGGCCTGTGTCAGGAATAGTGTGCCCAGCAGGACCAGGGCAGTGATTGTCCTCCTGTACTTGGCACTGCTGACACCACGCCTTGGCTGCTGTGTCCAATTTTTGGCCCCTCACTGCAAGAAAGACATTGAAATGCTGGAGTAAATCCATAGAAGGGCAACAGAGCTGGTGAAAGGTCTGGAGCACAAATTTGATGTGGAGTGCCTGAAAAAGCTGGGGGTGTTTAGCATGGAGAAAATTAGTCTGGAAAGAGATCCTATAGCTCTCTACATGAAAGGAGAGGAGGTTGTAGCCAGGTGGCAGTCAGCCTCTGGGCAGCTGGAACTGGGACACCATCATCCAGGGGAGGTTATGTTGGATATTTGGAGGAATTTCTTCACAGAAATGGTGATTAGACCTTAGATGGAGCTTCCCAGGGTGGCGGCAGAGTCACCACCACTGGAGGTTTTAAGGAAAGCCTGAACATGGCTCTCAGTGCCATGGCCTAGTTGACAGGGTGGTGTTCAGTCATAGGTTGCACTCAATGATTTCAGAGATCTTTTCTAACCTAATTGATTTTGTGATTCTGTAGTGAGGTGGCAGCACTCCAGTATTTAGTGAGATGATTGTGAAAGTGCTGGATCTCATGGGAGAGCTAGAGCTGCATGCAGTTGTCAAGGCCACAGTTTATCCAGCAAGCACCCAAGCAGTTGCACTTGGGTATTAGTAATGAGGAAACTCCTCTGTCTTGAACAGGAAAGGAGACCAGCTGGGTCAGTGTCCCCTAAATCAGGAGGCACCCTCCAGGGCAGGTGGATCTGGGGAGAAGACCACTCTAACTTCAGTACTGCACTACAGTCTTCTCACTTTCGTTCACTTCTCTTTTAGGTTCCAGTCCTCAAAAACTGAGTGATAGGCTTAACTTCAATATATTGATCATCCCAGTGAGGCTGATGAAAATTCAAACTAAAACAAAATTTCTGGCAAATGAAATGCCATCTTCATTCTGTTATGATATGCCTTCTTCATGACAGTAATTTGAGGATGAAACCTGCTTTGTCACTAACCTTCCTGCAGGCTGTTTTTCTTTGACAGAAACCCAGCAGGGGGACACACAGATCACCCTCTAGCACCCTGGGCTTGGTGATCAAAGGATCTCATTGCTGAGATTCTCAGTTCCACAGAGAGCAGTTATCTTGCAGTACAGATGCAACTCTTGGAACACACGCTCTGTAAAGTGCCTTTTTGGAATTGCAAAACTCTTCTTAGCAAAGAGGACTTTAAAGCCCAAATCACCTAGAAGTTTCCAAAAATGTCATCATAGATTTAGGAAAATGATAGTAAATCACTCTTCTCTTTATGTTTTTCTTGTAAAGTGAAATATTCAAAATACAACTCCCTTGTAATTTTGTCAGTAAGGTTTTGAATGCTCTTCTGTATTTAGAATTTGACTAAGTAAAAAAAAAAAAATCAATGTGAAACATAATAGCAATCAATTTTCTAAAATAAGAAAAATGTATTCATTTATTATGCCTTTAAAGCATTTGAACTTATTTGTTGGCAAAGAAAATCAGAAATATGTTGGATCAGGTATGAAAGAATATATTTTGAGAAAGATTGTAATTATTATAAAACTGGAGATTAATTGTTACTGTAGCTTACAGATGTTTTTTATGGTATCTGTACTCAAAGCAGGGTAATGCACTGAGCTCTCATTTAGTTCTGTCTTTACCCATTGGAGCACAGTGTGGCTTTTCAGCAGTGGAATTTTTGGTGGGGTGAAGGCTCTAATGGTGAATTCTTTTTTAATAAAGATTGTGCCTCTATTTTCAAACTTGTTCTCAATCTAATACCATAATCTTCATTCCCTGTAGAGGGAATGAAGTACTGCAGTGAATATCACTAACAAAGTCTACTAATTCTAGCGTGAAAGGTCATACAATACTCTTCTACCTAGAAGAATACATAAAAAACAAAAGGAAATCACCTAATCTTGTTTTAGCATTCTCTTTAATATGGTATTGGTAACCTGTCTGTAACAGCAACTTAGTAGAGACCAAGTATTTCCCCTCAAATTTTGTTTTCATTAGTAAAATATGTAGAACACAGGGTGCTAAATTTACCTGGTTTGT